ATGAGGTTCTGGTGTGATACAACCACGAATTGTGCCCATGGTAGATTGGGATCTAACACCATATGCACTATGGCTGTTGTGGATTATAAAATGACCACGACCAAAGTCCGTTATAAAAGAATTTTCAAAACTAAAAAAATAAATAGAAAGATATTTATTTTTATTTAATCAATATAATATAATATTTATATTCAAGATTGCACATTTACTACAATATAATAATTACATAAAAAAAAATCACAATTAAAATCAATGAGCTATCCTAAGAAATATGAAACTATCTATCAAGTACGAAATACTCCATTTACAAACAATTGTCACTTAAAATACTTCACTTTTCCTTGAATCGTATTACAAAGATTCATAATTTGATAACCGCCGCTACCACTACCCCTTCCTCTTGGTTGAATAATTCACCTAAATACATAATGACAAATAAGTTGATCAAATGATTGCTTCTAAGAAAACATATGCTTAACAATTTGGTATATAACACTCAATAGAGAGAAAGTGAGATTCCTAACCATACAAGAAGAACTTGAATGAAAGGAAAACATATCAGATTAGAAATCGAAATACTATCAACTTGAGAATTAAGAATCACTAACAACAACTTCAAATTATCGCTACGATTATTCATAATTTTAAAAATTAATTTTAAAAAATAGAGAAATTGAGAAAATGTAGGACCTGGTCCTGTCGAACCATAGGTGGACGACCTCAGCGAAGAGAATGTAGCACCATCATTGCATTTGCTCCCACTACAAATATGTTCGTTCCAATTGAACCGCCTTAATTTTCAGAGCGACACGGTGGAGTGGAAGGGATGGTCGCCACTATTGCAGTGAGGCTGAGGAGGAGAGAGCATGGAGGTTGTGTTAGGGTTGATTTGTTGGGTTGCTAATGTTGTTGCAGGAGGAAAGTGGGAGGTTTTTGAGTGGGCGACATCAGGAGGGGAAGAAATTGGTGGTAGTGGTGAGGTGAGGAGTCATGGATGGAGAGAGGCGATGAGTGGAGAGAAGATAAAAAATGAGAGAAAAGTTTGAGAGAGGTAAAGTAATAGGAAATGAAGTATTTCACTTAAATTTTGAGAATTGCAGGAGTACGGTGAAATTTCAAAGATTTGAAATTTTGGGAAATTTTTCAATCCCTCCTAAATTTTTTTAAATAATGCGTGTAATTCCACCATTTTTTTTACCACAAACATTAAATGTGATTAAAAACAATATTTCCACGACCAAGATCCATGGTGGTTTAATATTTTTACAACGTGTTAGATTAAGTATGTGGTATTAAATTGTTTTTGGAAAAATTAGGTTTTCATCCTTATTTTTCTTACTTCATTGATCAAAACCTTATTCCTTTTAGATTTCAATAATAAAATATTTTTTATTTCTAAATATATTTATTTAGTGTTAGGAACGTTACATTTTGTATATTTATATTTATGGCTAAATTTTTTATCATATATTTTTTTTTTTAGTTTGTACCAATTTTCTTTTCAGTTTTAATTTGTACTCATATATTAATTCCTTTTTATGCCCATATTTTTAAAATTTTATTAGTATTTGTAACCATTTTTAATTTGGCTAAATGTACCCATGCTAATTATATGCATTTATTTTATGTTTTAAAATACATCATTAGTTATTTTTTTATAATATGTTAATAATTATGGGCACATCATTTTTTTTGCTATAATTTTTGTAAAGAACAATATTACTCTAAAATTGATTTTTAAGTATTTATTATATTTTAAAAATATTATTTGAATTTGTTTAAATTTCATAATTTGTGAGACATTAAATGCACAAATGCATAGGTTAAATCTCTTAAATGAGGCTAAGGACCTCGATCAAAATATTTAAACAAACAAGGTTTCAGTCTAACAATTAGGTTGATTAGGGATCGGAACTAAAGTGACCCATTGTTTTATTATAACAGGGCACTACTTGTCTGTTGTAAAATATTATTTTCCATAACGTGCTAACTAAGCCTGCGATAAATGTTAACTTTTTATAACAAGTGCATAAAGCCCATGGTAAATTTGTTGTGGTAAATGAGCTGCTGTCTAGTAGTGAGTGTAAAACATTTGGTAAATTATAATGTAAAGTGTAATTGTATATAATGACAAAAATAGACGTTGTGGGAGTTATGGTCAATCTGCAATGACAACAGTGATGAGGGCAATGGTGATGGTGCAGTAGTGGTGATGGTAGCGACAAAGGTGGAGGTATGGTGGTGGAGCCAATAGTGGAATGTGGTGGTTTTGGTGTAAAGATAACAATAGTAGTAGGGGTCGTGGTAGAAATGGTAGTGGCGCCTGTGGTTGTGGTTGTGGTGGTTGTGGTGGCGGTTGTGGTTAGGTGGTGGTGGTGGCAACAACGATGGCAGGGGCGGTAGTGTAACGATAGTGATGGCAATGGTGGTGGTGGTGGCGGTTACGATTGTGGTGGCAACGCCAATGGTGGTGGAGGTGATAACAACAATGGTGGCGGTAATGGCGGTGGTGGTGTAAGGTTAGTGTTTGTAAGGTAGGTAGTGACTGTCATTTTGTTTTCCAAGGGATGAAATGTGTGTAGAAGATTAAACAATGTCATTTTAAAAACTTATAGGGTATTACAAGAATTGAAAATATTCATCAAATGCTCAACTCCGTTTTTATAAACGCAACTTACATGTTACTTTTAAAAGTTGTTGTCTAAAGACCGTTGCTTTTAAAATAAGGTGAATATTTTATTTTTACCTTTTATTGCTTAATTTAGAAGTGAAGCTGTTTTTTGTGGAAACAAAAAAATACCGAAGAGCCTTACACTAATGAGCTTCTTCTTTTTTAACGGACAAAATTTTGGAGAAATTTTTTTTTTTTCTTCGAACAGAACACACATTGTCAATCCTTCATGAATAAATTCTTGTTATAGCAATCTTCACAATAAAATAAAGAAGACCAAATTGCACTAATAGACTTTATAGTTACCTGAAATTTCACTTGTTCCTGTAGTTTTTTGTTAGACTGTCGTCCTTATAGTTTCGTTATATTTTCACTTTAGTCCAGTTGTTAACCTAGTTGGTTTTCCTATCCATGTGTGTTTACATCTTCTCATTTGAAAAATGAGAATTGGAAGAAATTTTGACTCATTTAGCCAAATAAAGGACAGGGGTGATAGAATTCTAAGTGAACTGAAGGGAGAATCAGTGCAACTTAGGCAAGTGAAGAAAACTAAAACAAAAAGATAAGAATAAAGCATTAATTATGTATATCTTGTCCACGTTTGAGAGAATACACTTCCCACCACTAAAAGGCGTGGTGATTTATGCTCTCATCTTGAGTTGAGTAAAAAAAACATAAGCACTATATACTACATAATCACTAATATACAAAAACAAAAATTAGTAAACTAAGCATGAATTACTATTGAATCGGTACTGAGACATTGATGTTGGTGTATGGACAAAAATGCTAAGGGAATATTGTTTGTGAAAGACTACACTAATTCAGACCATATGAAATCTACAAAATGTAGGTCCACACAAGGATGTGTCTTCATTTTGAATGAAGGAGCTATGAGTTGGAGAAGCAATATGCAGAAGTGCATAACGCTCTCCATCTGAGAAACAAAATATGATTCTGCTTCAATGCTAATCGAAAAGTTGTTTTGGATAATGAAGTTCATCACTGGACTTGTCAATGTTCGTACTATTGAATCACTAATGATATTATTAGGTGATTAAAATGGGGCATTAGCTCAATCCAAGGAACTACGATTTCATGAATCATCGAAACAAAAATAAAAAAGCATCGTTAATTACGAGATTATAGTGTAAACACGGAATTC